AGGGAATTGAAATAAATAAAAATAAGACGAAGGCCATTTTGGAGGCGAAAGCACCATCAACAAAGAAAGAATTGCAGTCGCTGCTAGGGAAGATTAACTTCTTAAGGAGATTCATTTTGAATTTGAGCGGCAAGATTCATGCCTTTTCACATCTACTTCGACTGAAGAATGAAGGCTTCAAATGAGGGCAAGCGCAACAGGAAGCCTTTGATAGAATTAAAGAGTATCTTGTTCATCCTTCAATTTTGTCGCCTCCTTGTAGAAGTAAAAGTATGAGATTGTATATTTCTGCATCTGATGTAACCATAGGGAGCATGCTTGCTCAAGAGGATGAAAATAGCACCGAGAGAGACATTTACTATCTCAGTCGAGTCCTTAATGACATGGAAACTAGGTATAACATGATTGAAAAGTTGTGTCTTTGTCTGTTTTTCTCATGTACAAAGTTGAAATATTATATAAAACCTGTTGATGTTTATGTTTCATCCTATTATGATATCATTAAACATATGATTTCTTAGGCAATTGTTCATAGTCGAATTGGAAAATGGGCACTCACTTTAACGGAGTACTCATTAACTTATGTGCCTTTAAAGGCCATGAAAGGACAAGTGGTCGTAGACTTTATAGTCGACCACTCTGTAGTCGAGAGTCCCCAAAATTATCTCGAACTTGAGCCTTAGAAATTATATTTTGATGGTTCGAGTCACTGAGATGGAACAAGTATTGGGATATTAATTATCTCTCCTGATAAAATTCCAACAAGATTCAAGTACAAAATTGAAGGGCCTTGTTTGAACAACGGAGCTGAATGTGAGGCTTTAATAGTCGACCTTGAAATTTTGTTGGAATTGGGGACAACTAGAGTCGAAATCGTTGGTGACTCCGAATTGGTTGTGAAATAGATAAACAAGGAGTATAAATGTGTTAAAGAGAATTTGATAATGTAGTTTGTAATAGCAAATCGACTATTACGAAATTTTGACATGGTGAGTATTAGGCACATTCCTCGATTAAAGAACTAGGAGGCCAATGACTTGGGTCAAATTGCTTCTGGATACAAAGTTTTGAAAGAAAAGTTGGAAGATGTGATCAAAGTTTGAGGGAAAGTAATGGTGATCAGATTGTTTCCGACAGATTTGGAAGCAACAAATTTGGGTTACGCAGATGATGAGAATATCAAAATCTTGGCAATCGACAACCTGACAGATACAGATTGGAGGAAACCTATTATGGACTACTTAAACAATCCAACGGAATTTGCGGAGCAAAAAGTCAAGTATATATCTCTAAGTTATACTCTTATGGGGAATGAACTGTTCAAAAAGACGCCTGAGGGAGATTTACTTAAATTCCTTAGTGAGACTGGGGCCTATTTAGCTTTATCGAATGTCCATAGTGGGGCATGTGGCGCTCACCATGTAGCCCATAAGATGAAGTGACTTTTATTTCAACAAGGAACATATCTGCTTACTATGCTGAAAGATTGCATCGAGTTTACCAAAGGGTGCCAAGAATTCCAGAGGCGTGCAAGTATACAACACTTTCTTGGAAGCAAACTGCATTCCATTGTGAAGCCTTGGCCTTTTAGGGGTTGGGCGTTGGATCTGGTTGGTGAAATTTGACCAATGTCTTCTAAAAGTCACAGGTATATCCTGCTGGGCATCGATTACTTTACAAAGTGGATCAAAGCCATTCCTTTGGTAAATGTTGATCAGGAAGCAGTGATCGAGTTCATTCAAAGGCACATAATGTAGAGGTTTGTGATTCCAGAAACGATTATAACTGAACAGGGATCAGTATTTACTGGTCGAAAGGTCCAAGATTTTGCTAAAGAAGTAGGGATCAAGTTGTTGACATCTACACCTTATTATGCTCAAACACATGTATTATTACCTATAAAAACAGATGAAAAACTATCAAACTCAACAATATCTACACAAAAATGCATATTACACACTATAATGTAAATTATACAAAATATACACAAAAATGAGGGGTTATTAGCGGGAAACCAACGAATTGAGCCAATAAGTGCCAATTATTCACACTCAAAATCAGTATAATTTAGCACTTATCACATTCTTCTATAAGATATTTTTTCCCAAAAAAACGATCTCCTTTAAAAGAGAAGATAGGTTTGACCGTCTCTTCCTTCCACATAGTGATAATTCCACCTAACTACCCCTGAGAGCTGCTAAAAGACCAACCCACTTCACAATTGTTCCACAAGTTCTTGATGTTAACATGATCAACCTCCCTTAATTTAGACTCTTGGTTAAAGAATACATCAACATTTCCAACAAAAATGGTTTTCCTGATCCTGTTCCTTTTAGATAAATTTTCTCCCCTCTAATGTTCAATGAACCTATAATCATTGAACACCATTAAATTTCACCTTTTTGTTATTAGTTCTGACTTTGTCACATAATTTCATATTGACAATCTTCTTAGAATAATCCTTCGAGTTGTCTTTCGCCACCATCCCTAGATTTGATATGGCATTCCAGATCTTATTTCCAAAGTTAGTTTCCAAGTTTTTCCAGCACTTGTAATTACAAAGCCTGACATCAGAATCAGATGTTTAATCACAACATAAAATGGCTCCTGCCGAGAATGCATCAGACATACTTGCTAACCGTTTTTGCAAGGAGTTTAAAGAAAGAAAAGTTCCAAGCATGACATGGAATACCATAGAATCTCAACCAAGTTACCCGCTCTTTGTCCATGTTCTCTTCTTTCCATTCTATAATATCTGAGAACCATTGTCTCCACCAGGACTCTGCCTCCCTGATTAAATCTCTAATCTCTCCTACTTGAATTTCTTCCAAAAGACACAGATTTGCACCGAGAGGTGTAACTTTAATCGAGAAGTACCCCTCAATCTCAAAACTGGTCTGGATATTATAAGTCATTCCAGGATTATGTACGACACCTATGTACGCATTTCTAAGCCTCATAAGATCAAACTCATCTGGATTGTAACTCAGGTAAATTGGAACCTTGCGCAGAATAGCCATAAAATAAGCTCCAACATTATTGACAACCTCCACAAAGGATCTCACACCTACTATAGCATCAGCTTCTCCAAACTTCCTTCTTCGAATAACCTCCACATTTTGTCTCCTGGATTTATTCCCCACCTTCTTGCTTCCTCCTTTAGAACCATACTCTGCTCTAGAGTATCTATGGATATTTGCATTTATCTTAACTTTATCAATAAAAATGTTATCCAACTTGACTGCAAGCACCTTGATATCTTCCACCTCCCTAAATCTAGAAAATCCAAAACGCTTGCCAAACTTATTTCTTTTAGGAGGAATAACAACTTCCACCACATTGCTGAACTCGCCAAAAAGGTTAAAAATCTCTTCTGCTTTCACTCTATCTGGGATTTCAGAGAAATATATGGATTGAACTCTAAAAGCTTCACATGCATTCCATCCTCCCACTAGATGAAAGTTTCACTTGTTCTTCGTTACAAACTTGAATCCTTTCTTCTGCATTTGCCCCTAAAATAGGGGAGTGAAAAGAAAAATAAGAATGAGTAATAAGAAAAATCACAATGTATCTTGTTATTATAGATATTTAGATGAATTTAAATTTTATTATTTAATCTTGTCTAACGTATCCATTTAAAAGTAAGGATAATAAATTATTCAAAATTTTATTATTTAAACCCTAGATTTTTCAAGCTTCTAGATTTGATTAGTTATATCAACTAATAGTATTAACAAGATAGACATAACTAGGGGTTGCAAAATGAATCTGCTACGTCGGGCATGCTCGTTTATCTTGCAATTTTTTTGCAGGATATTTTAAGGTTTTAGGCATGCACCATATAATATGTCTGCTCCGTCTCGCTTCATTTTTTTCGAGGTTTTGCGGACGCAAGCGTTAACATAATTTGTTTTCAATTTTAGACTCTAAAAATGCAATGTTCGCGGGTCTGCTCCACCTTCACTTTTTTAAAGATGGACCAAAGTTTTAAACCGACACATAACTATACATACCTTGCTCCCTCCTGCTTTTTACATTTTTTTTGGATAGGTTTAAACGAAACATGCACAACATATTGATAAATTCGGTATATGAAATATATATTTTGAAATAGAAATACTAAAAACTCAAAATAATTTATATGTTTTTGAAATAAATATGAAAAAATTTATTTTATACTAATTTTTTTTTTATTTAGGACAAAATGAGTTTGGCTCATGGTTCATGTACATTTTGTCTGTATTGCTTTTGGAATGGATTAAGGTTTTAAACACGCACCATATAATAAGATCGCTCCGCTTCATCCCATTTTCTTCGAGGTGCAAACATTAACGTCTTCCATTTTAAGTTTTAAAAGTGTAATTCACGGACCTGTACTTTTAATTTTTTGCATAACGAAGCAAAACTTTAAACTCATACCCTTAAATATATCTGCCCCGTCCATACCCTTAAGTATACCTGCCCCGTCCGTCCTGCTTTTTACGGTTTTTGTGGGAGAGACGGGCCTAAACAAAACTTACACCGTCGTTTACATCTCTAGACATAAACATTCTAATAAATTGGATATAGGAAATATATATTTTGAAAAAGATAGAAAATATATTATATTAAATAAAATTATAAAACTATTTCAGTTAAAAATAAATTTTAAATATAGTTATGTTTTGAAATATAAAAACTCAAAATATATTAATTTAATAAATATGGAATTCTTAATGGTGTTTATTCCAAATAATCAATCAAAATATTTTGGAAAATTGTTTAAATAAGATATTTTATAAAATAAATATGAAAAAAATTATTTTATACTTATTAATATATATTTCTTTTTTCTTTTTTCTATAAAAACCTTTTTTTAATGTAATGGAATATAAAAAATTTAAAATTTGAATTGTAAGGAAATATGAAAAAATTACCGCCTTGAGAATTTCTATAAAAGCTTCTCATATTCACAAATTGACAACCAAACCCTAACAGCAGCAGCCGACTTCCACGCAACCATGTCTGAGAAACTGATCGTTCTTCGCGGCACCATGCATGCTCACACAGACGTTGTTACCGCCATATCGACTCCTATCGACAACTCCGACATGATCCTCACTTCTTCCCGCGACAAATCAATCATCATCTGGGATCTAACCAAGGAGGACGAAACCTATGGTGTTCCCCGCGAGTCTCTCATCGGTCACTCTCACTTTGTTCAGGATGTTGCTCTCTCATCCGACCGCCTGTTCGCTGTCTCATGTTCACGGGACCGCGAGCTCCGTCTTTGGGACCTCAACACCAGAACCTCCTTACACCGATTTGTCGGTCACACCAAGGACGTTCTGTCTGTTGCTCTCTCAAAGGACAACTGTCATATAGTGTCTGGTTCTCGTGACGGCGCGATTAGGCTGTGGAACACTCTGGGTGAGTGCGAATACACCATTGAGGATGCTCATGCTGATTGGATTAGCTGTGTTGGAATCAGCCCGAGGGCTCTACGACCAATCATAGTTTCGAGTTCATGGGATAAAACTGTGAAGGTTTGGCGTCTGAGCGATGGCAAGTTGATATGCACTCTTTCTGGACATTCTAGATATGTAAACAGCGTTGCTGTTTCACCTGACTGTTGTCTCTTGGCTAGTGGTGGCAAAGATGGAGTTATCATTGTGTGGGATATTGAGTCCAAGGGAAAGAGACTTTTCTCTTTTGAAACTGGTTCTACTATTCATGCTTTGTGTTTCTGTCCCAATAGGTACTGGGTCTGTGCTGCAACCGAGTCCAGCATCATGATCTGGGATTTGGAGAGCGAGACAGTTGTTGACGATTTGAAGATTAATGACCTCAAGCCTGAAGCTGAGAGTACTACCACCGCCGGTACCGACAAGGTTATCCACTGTACATGTTTAAACTGGAGTGCTGATGGAACCACCCTTTTCAGTGGATACACTGATGGCGTTGTTCGAGTATGGGGCTTTAACACTTATTAAAGTGATGTTTTGTGCTTCTTATTCATTTTTAAGACTGTTTTAAGTTGCTTTACATAGAATTGATTTCAGCTTTTGATGACCTTTTATTATAATACCCACGTTACTCTTAGAGACAAGATTAGTTTGTTAAAAGTGTAATAATTTTTATTATAATACCTTTAAGTCATGCTTGTTATCGAACCTTTACTATCAATTACTTTCAAATATTTGATTTCATCAAATATGCACAATATATATGATTCTAAATTTTAAATTGATTTAAATGATTAATTAAAATGAACAATAATGTATTTTAACTTAAAATAATCACAATAAATTAACTTGTAAAATAATATAAGTAATAAGTTAATAATGTATTTTATTTAAACTAATCACAATAATAGAACACGCAAATAATGTGTTTTATTTATAGGACTGATATAGTTTTATTGATTATTTAATTTTGAATACTACTATGAATATAGTATTTAATCTATACTTTAGAGCTCACATAATTATAAATATAAAACAATATTGTTTTATTACCCATATTTTTATTTAATTAAAAAAAATTAAGAATATAAATTTATTATTTGTTTTTTATTTTTGTTTGATCTTTTTTTATTTATAACTTTTTTTGCATGTTCTATATTGTGCTTGCTTTAAATAAAATATATTATTTATTTATATCTTATATTTTTATTTTATTAAAAATATTAAATAAAATGAAATTATTACTTATATTTTAATTTGGTTTATTTATTTAATTGAAAGTTCGATTTATTTTTTGTTTTTTTGCAAGTTATATTATTGTGATCATTTTAAATTAAAATACATTATTGTTTTATCACATATGTTTTCATTTGATTAAATATATTGAATACGATAAATTTGCAAGTTTAGTAAGATTTGTTTGCAAATTCTAATAATATAATACTAATGTGATAATATTATGATAATTATAGCAAATAGAAAATATTTCTAAAAAAAATTCTCTATTTATAAAATTTTTATATATTAAGCATAATAGATAAAAATTTACTAAAATGGTGTTTATATGAAATTAATAAATTTTAAACAGGTGAACAAACGAAAAAAATATGAACCGGAAGACTTGCAAAAAGTCTTCCGGTGAACAAACGAAAAAAATATGAACCGGAAGACTTCCAAAAAGTCTTCCGATGAACAAATGGAAAAAATATGAACCGGAAGACTTGCAAAAAGTCTTCCGGTGAACAAATGAAAAAAAAAATTATAAATTTTTATACGAGGATATTTTGGTGCAAAAAATTTTAGTGTAGGGGTATGGGTATAATTGTAGGGGTATGGGATAAAATTTCCATATAATGTAAACACATGTGCATAAAAATAGATATTGAATACTACTATGAATATTTTGAATACTACTATGAATATAGTATTTAATCTATACTTTAGAGCTCACATAATTATAAATATAAAACAATATTGTTTTATTACCCATATTTTTATTTAATTAAAAAAAATTAAGAATATAAATTTATTATTTGTTTTTTATTTTTGTTTGATCTTTTTTTATTTATAACTTTTTTTGCATGTTCTATATTGTGCTTGCTTTAAATAAAATATATTATTTATTTATATCTTATATTTTTATTTTATTAAATATATTAAATAAAATGAAATTATTACTTATATTTTAATTTGGTTTATTTATTTAATTGAAAGTTCGATTTTTTTTTTTTTTTTTGCAAGTTATATTATTGTGATCATTTTAAATTAAAATACATTATTGTTTTATCACATATGTTTTCATTTGATTAAATATATTGAATACGATAAATTTGCAAGTTTAGTAAGATTTGTTTGCAAATTCTAATAATATAATACTAATGTGATAATATTATGATAATTATAGCAAATAGAAAATATTTCTAAAAAAAATTCTCTATTTATAAAATTTTTATATATTAAGCATAATAGATAAAAATTTACTAAAATGGTGTTTATATAAAATTAATAAATTTTAAACAGGTGAACAAACGAAAAAAATATGAACCGGAAGACTTGCAAAAAGTCTTCCGGTGAACAAACGAAAAAAATATGAACCGGAAGACTTCCAAAAAGTCTTCCGATGAACAAATGGAAAAAATATGAACCGGAAGACTTGCAAAAAGTCTTCCGGTGAACAAATGAAAAAAAAAATTATAAATTTTTATACGAGGATATTTTGGTCCAAAAAATTTTAGTGTAGGAGTATGGGTATAATTGTAGGGGTATGGGATAAAATTTCCCTATAATGTAAACACATGTGCATAAAAATAGATATTGAAGGTGAATTACCTATTTTGTTAGAGTTTTTGATTGCCTTCATCCAAAGGTGGCAAACCAGCATGCATGTTCCGTTTAAGACCATCACTCAGAAATCTCACAAAGATAGGATAAGGCTGACATTGTGTAAAGTGTGGATGTAAAACTTTAGTCTGTCTTGCAATAAAATATGGACAGGGTGGGACAAGTTTGATGGCACTGCACCTTTTTAACATAAAAATTGAAAAAATTTATGTTAAAATCTGCGGTCATTAGCGGGCGCCTGCAAATGGCCACATAAAACTGGGGCATAGTGAGACAAGCATATTAGAGGGTGCTTGCCTAAAACTTTGATCTGACACACACAAAAATGCAAATAAAACGAATATGGCTAACAGACCAGCCCGTTTATCCACCTCTATCTTAAGCTAACTCTTTTTTTTTGGAAAAAGAGAATAAAACATTCACGGAGTATAATTGATAAAATGATATTACGAAAAACGTTGCATGTTTAATATAAATATTTTTCTGTCCCCACTGAATACACCCAAAGATTTATTTCTAATTAAATAATACTTACAACAATCATCAAAATAATGAATAAAGTTGTCAGTATTTTAAACTTGCAAGAATTTGATAATTGAAATAAATAACCGATGTTGTTTACTAATTTCTAATTATCAACTTATGGACTCATAACCCTTATTAGTGATGTATTCAAATCATGCATATATGAGAATATACAACGAAATCAGACCTCAAATCCAGTGTTAGCTTGGAAAAATTGATGAAAGATTTCTTGTCCCACAAGACACAATTCTTGGTAGCATATTTAAATAATTGTCGAAATTTTTGCATAACCTCATTGATTAAGATACCTAAGAAATCAATATATTAGATACCTAAATAATTTTATTACTTATAATCAAACTAAAACAATAACAAAGTTAAAAACGCACAATGTTTGAAATGCTAATGTACATGCACAATATTTAAAAGTATTTGATACTATTCAAGATCCACTTTTATGAGAAAATCTATTCATAAACACATTCCAAGTTCAAAATTCAAAAAACCAAATCATTTTGACAAACACAATAATAATCAACCAAAAAATAAACAAATTCATAAAATTAGAGAAAAATAAAAATAGAAGGTAAGAGAAAAAAACCTTAAAAAGAAATATAATATATATAAAATCATTGTTATGATAAAATTAAAACATAACCACATCCCAAATTCAAAATTTAAGTAACAAAATCATTTTAACAAACCCAAAATAATAATCAGACAAACAAACAAACTTATTTTTTAAATGATAAAGAATACAAAAAGATGTCAAAATCACAACCTTAAATATGCTAACCTTTATTCAAGATATGGAAAAAAAAAACTTTGATTTTTAAGTGACAAGTTTGAAACTTGTAAACTTGTAACCTTCTAAATCAGAACATGTTTTTGCAGTGTCCTTTTTAATTAAAGTGTTCAGGATATGAATGTAAAATTTAACATGAGCATAAGATAGAAAGCGGTTTTTGATTGTTAATATGTCGCACATGCTCAATACTCTCTCTTTTACATTCTTATTGATGGGATAGGCTCATGTATGTCATATGTGGAGTATCAGACTACCTTGAAATATTGCTTTATAATGCTTTATAATGATTCCTTTATTTCATATTGATGAGGTTTTCTCTATTTGTCATAAGGCGTGTTGAATACATTTGAGAAACACACTATTCATTATAAGGAACTTTCAGGCTCAAATACCGACACGGCCTTGTTAAAAATGTCCTATTTGAAATTTTTCGACAAACTGATGTAACTTTGAAGAAAAGAGTCGGCTGTGAATTTTTTTGCTACCCTAATTATAGAGGGAAAGAAACTAAAGAAATATTAGTAAATGAGATAGAAAGAAGAAGATGAAGCTTGAGAAGAAGGAAAAAAAGAAAAGGAGACAAAGAGTGATGTGAGTACGAGAGAAAAAGGGGAATGTGAATAAGAGAGAAGATAAGTATTAAAAATTTGAGAACCCGAGAGATTTTATTAAAATTTTCTCTTATATTCTTTTTTTTCTTGACATTATTTGAAAAAAGTGGTAACAAAAGTTTAAAAAGATAGTAGAATATAATATATAATATTAAAATTGTATAAAAAGACTCAATTGCCCCTAAAATAGAGAAATGACCATAAATAAAAATGAGTAATAAGAAAATTCGAAGGTATCTTATTATTATAGATATATAGTGGATTTTAAATATTATTATCTAATCTCATCAATATATCAATTTAAATTTTTCAAACTTTTTTTTATTATAATCTAATAAATTATGCTAAATTTTATTATCTAAAATCTATATTTTTTAAGCTTTTAGATCTGGTTTGTTATAACAACTAATAGTATTAAATAAAATATGTATAAAGGAGGTAAAATAGGTCTGACTCGTTGGTTATGTCGGTTTTACCAACATTTTTTTTAAGATTGATTTAGATTTTAGACTCGCACCATATAATAAGACAACTCTGCTCCGCTCTATTTTTTCGATCTTTAAAAGTGTAATATTCACGAACCCTCCCACTATAATTTTTTCAGAACTAAGTAAAATTTTAAACTCACACCCTAAACTATACCTGCCACACTCCATGCTGTATTTTGCAATTTTTGTGGGGCATACCCGCCTAAACAAAGTTGACATGCAAGTTTGCATCTTTAGACATAACATTCTGATAAA